GGGATGTGGGATGCAGAACAGATCGGATGCGGATCATTCTGCTCGGCAGCATCTTCACATGTGGGCCGAAACGCCAACGGGTCGACGCGTGCGCGGATATGCCCGTGAGCGCGCGGGTATGTCAGCCAGCAGCGGGCACATGCATCACATAAGCTGAAACCCGAGCTGCCCCACATGTTTTCAGCTCAACCGCTCATCTCAGGCCTGTCCTCGCTGCTGTGAGTTCTCACCCATCATGCTCTTAACTCTGGCTATCCGCTGACTAGGGCAGCGATGGGTCGTAAATCTTTTTCCCCAGCGGCAGGCGGCCAACATGCCCCACATAGTGCTTATTAGAATGAGGAGGATGGTAGCTGACAAATACCAACTCCTTGCTGCTTTTAATGCAAGCGCAAACGCTCCCCCAATAAACTTTGCATCAACATGAAGCCGAGCCGAGACCTCCATACGAGAGGGGATAATTACACAGAGAACTGATGCTGTCTCATCTACACCCCTGCTGACTGCTTTATTAAACAGATTCATCATTCCATTTCGTTTCAGAGGCCGTTACGGCTGAGAGGCGAACGGTTGCCTTGCAGGAGCGCTGGGTTGATGAAATAACAACTGCCGCTGTGCTGTTTCGTGCTCTCGCACGAGGGGCTTTTCCAGGAGCTATCAAGAATATGTGGGTGATTAGCCTGAAACCGAGAACAGATTTTAAAATCACGACAAAAGAACACTGGCTTCTCAAGCATAGAGACGGGCGACAGAGAGAGACGTGATCTGCAATGAATCACAATTACAAAACAAACAATCAAAACACTTGTATCTCTTTAATTCTAAAGAAATATAATTTAATTCTAAAGATATATATATGTATATATATACGCATTTTCTTTAGAATACATAAGCTATTTTATAAGTTTATACATGTATAAAAAATGATATAAGTTAAATTAGATTTAGATAATTCATTATATAATACATTATCTTCTATACACCCACACACACACAGAATTAAATATAAAATAAGTCAAATGTAAAACTATAAAATAAATAAAATATTGTATTATATTAACATAATATATAAAATATTTAAATATAAAAATGATTATATAGAACTATATAAAAATATTGTATGCATGTATATATTAATATAATATAGTATATTGTAGTATAAAATAATTAAATATAAAGTAATATAAATATAATAATTTGCATGGATTGCTTTATATTACTTTTAGATTTGGTTTTATTCTTTGTTATTTTTCTGTAAAATAACCAGTATTTGAAGGTTGAGCCACAAGCTCATTGGCTACTGATCAGCTGTCCCTAGAGAGAATGATGGGATTGCAAGCAGATTGAGTTAAGGACCTTAAAAATCGTGCCCTGCATGGCGCTTCATGCTTCACAGAGTTTCATGACAGACCTTTGTATTTTTTACAGAGCAACAGTACTAAACTACGCTCAGTGATACTCAGTGATGAACTACAATGCATTCACTGGTATATTGAATCAAGATGGCAAAATGAATACACCGAAGAAAAAAAAAGTTACTGCCTTAAATTTTTAAGTACAATCACTTGGATTTTTAAATCATTTCAACTTAAATTACATTAAACTGACTTAAAAAAATAGTTGAATCTTGTATAATTAAATAAAACAAGTGGAAATTGCTTAACTTATTTTGATGAGTTAAAGAAATGTAAAAATATTTGTTGTCATTGATCATATAATTTTTTACAGTGTATAAGAAACTCTCATATGTTGCTCATCAACGCCACATATACACTCACCTAAAGGATTATTAGGAACACCTGTTCAATTTCTCATTAATGCAATTATCTAATCAACCAATCACATGACAGTTGCTTCAATGCATTTAGGGGTGTGGTCCTGGTCAAGACAATCTCCTGAACTCCAAACTGAATGTCAGAATGGGAAAGAAAGGTGATTTAAGCAATTTTGAGCGTGGCATGGTTGTTGGTGCCAGACGGGCCGGTCTGAGTATTTCACAATCTGCTCAGTTACTGGGATTTTCACGCACAACCATTTCTAGGGTTTACAAAGAATGGTGTGAAAAGGGAAAAACATCCAGTATGCGGCAGTCCTGTGGGCGAAAATGCCTTGTTGATGCTAGAGGTCAGAGGAGAATGGGCCGACTGATTCAAGCTGATAGAAGAGCAACCTTGACTGAAATAACCACTCGTTACAACCGAGGTATGCAGCAAAGCATTTGTGAAGCCAGAACACGCACAACCTTGAGGCGGATGGGCTACAACAGCAGAAGACTCCACCGGGTACCACTCATCTCCACTACAAATAGAAAAAAGAGGCTACAATTTGCAAGAGCTCACCAAAATTGGACAGTTGAAGACTGGAAAAATGTTGCCTGGTCTGATGAGTCTCGACTTCTGTTGAGACATTCAGATGGTAGAGTCAGAATTTGGCGTAAACAGAATGAGAACATGGATCCATCATGCCTTGTTACCACTGTGCAGGCTGGTGGTGGTGGTGTAATGGTGTGGGGATGTTTTCTTGGCACACTTTAGGCCCCTTAGTGCCAATTGGGCATCGTTTAAATGCCACGGCCTACCTGAGCATTGTTTCTGACCATGTCCATTCCTTTATGGCCACCATGTACCTATCCTCTGATGGCTACTTCCAGCAGGATAATGCACCATGTCCCTGGATGTGCATCCCACAAATCTCCATCAACTGCAAGATGCTATCCTATCAATATGGGCCAACATTTCTAAAGAATGCTTTCAGCACCTTGTTGAATCAATGCCACGTAGAATTAAGGCAGTTCTGAAGGCGAAAGGGGGTCACACACAGTATTAGTATGGTGTTCCTAATAATCCTTTAGGTGAGTGTATGTACCACTATGAATATGCAGAAATGCGAGTAAGATACAAAAGCTACAGTGGAGGGGAAATTAAATTTTGGCCTGTTACTTCCATTAAGCTATGGAATGTTTTCATGAGACTTGTTCCACAAATTTTGTTCCACTGAAAAAGTGACTGCTTACTGCTTTGGAACGCCACGAGGGTGAGTAAATAATGACAGAATTTTCATTTTTGGATGAACTTTCCCAATATATGGTTCTAGCAGGACAGATGTTAACAAATCCGGTATTTCTCAGCTTTCTTGCTCTCTCGGTCTACTCAAGTCTCTCTGATGCTCTTTATCTTTCAGGTTTTCCCCTACGGCCACCTAACCTCTCTCTTTAAAGCTTTTCTGGGAGACACAGAAGAAGAAGAAAAAAATCAATGTGGTTTAAAAGAGCCTGAAATCTCTCCTAAAAAATATTAGAAAGAGGAAAGAGAGATGGGACGTCTTTAGAAGCCGAGAGAATCAGCACCACAGCATCTTTCCTCTCCTCTTGTTCCTTTTAAATAGAACAACGGTCGGCCTTGACAATATCTCCACACTCTAACGGGCGTCTTGTTCCGCAAAAGCATTCAATGGTTTCCCCCACGATCACGATCGAGGGTGTGACAAGACAAACGGGGGAGGCATTTCTGCAGATTAGGCTTTCATAACAGAGATTGAAAGAGCAGAGGTTCACGAATTACGTGAGCGATGGAGATGATGGCTTGTTATTGTTCGAGCTTGTTTGGAGATGAGTAGGTGAAAAAACAAGGAGCAGAGGAACTAAATTGCAGCTGTTGAAATCTCCCAAACTGGGTTAATTGCTCTGGGATGGGGAGAGAACATGGATACCATTAAAAAGACTTTCCCTTTCATAATGACTTTCTCACCATACCTGCCCAACGCCCAGAGGGAAAGACATTCCCTGTGTTTCGTATGCTGTTTGCTGTTTGATGATATCTGACAGAGGAACTCATCTGAGAGAAACATTGATCTAAGTTTCACCTGTCCGTATCTGACACAGAGGCAAAACGCCAGCCATAAGGGATGATACCGAGAGTCGTAGCAATAAAAGTGTCTAGCATCTCTTGATTCTGAAGTGACAGGTGCCTCTAGGGTAACAACATCTGCACTTTTACATGATGGAAAGTGTCAGGATCAGTAGATTAAAAACTGCAGTAGTTTTTGCAGCTCAAGTGGTAGATCACAGTGTTAGCAACACCAAAGTTGTTGGTTGGACTCCCAGGGTACCCTGCCGTTTAAAATTTTGGGGTCAGTAAGATGCTTTTTTTTGTTGTTGTTGAAGGAAATGAATAATTTCACTCAAAAGTGATCGTAAAGGCATTTACAATGTTACAAACAATTTTTATTTCAAATAAATGTTTTTTGAACCTTCTATTTATCAAAGAATCCTAAAAATCACGATTTCCACAAAAATATTAAGCAGCACAACTGTTTTCAACACTGATAATAATCAGAAATGTTTCTTGAGCAGCAAATCAGCATATTAGAATGATTTCTGAAGGATCATGTGACACTGAAGATTGTTTTTGTTGTTTAGAATCTAGCATTCCCGTAATACTTTTGTCTTTTATGAGTTTAATAAAGAACTCTGTCTCGTCTTCTGTCCAAACATAGCACGTCATCTTTAAAGAATGATCGTCTTTTACATACACCAGGTGACCTGTAAATGCGAAATATCCATTGCAAATATTCCTTTTTCGAATTGCCTGAAAAATCATCCTCAAAAAAAAACTTTTTGCGATATATGTGAGTTTCTGAGAAATTGACGTCTTTCCATTGGGCGTATTTTTAATTCTGCAGAAAAAAGAAAGTCATTCATTTTTTGATGGTGAGGTCGAGTAAATGGCAACAGAACTTTCATTATTTAACTGTCGGTGAACTGCTCCTTTAAGTAATTGATTGAAGTCACTCAATATTAACCCAATTAAACTCTTTGTGCTCTTTCGTACCCCTGTTTAAGCATCTTATGCCAACGTCAGGAATGGCTGATCTTGTTTCCTTCCACTTGTTTGTATTTCAGTCTGTCAGCGCAGATTTTTCTAAGCTCTGATGTCAGTTGTTGTGCTGACTGTGGAGGTGTATCCTAATAAGGGGCAGATGGACAGACGCAAGACTCTTACCAGGCTTGAGACTTCCTCCTGGGCACGTTCTGTCGGCTCCACTTGGAGTGAGGGGTCAGGTGATAGATCAGCTGCCTGCAGATCTTCTCAGTGGACTTGAGAGCATCAGACTCCTGCAAAAGCCAGGATGAGAAGAAGAGGGTGATGAAGAGCTATTCTGGGAGAGAGGAGGGCTTATGGTCACTGACAGTGTAATCTAAAGCAACTTGGATGTGTACCATGTCTAGTGCTATTAAAAGTGTTAAACAGAAGTAAACAGTCAAATGAATCTGTGAGTGATGATTTACTTTAAAAAGTGTCACACAAGAGTCCAGTGCTTTTTTAGACATTTTACCATAGTCAAGAGGTGCTGTTAGGCATGACACGACACATAAGCAGCACTCATACCGTGGTGAAAAACAATGTAAAGTGGCAACAGCACAGCATTAGTTTATTGCTTTTATAAAATAAAATGTTTGATAAAAGACAGCAATGTTTAATTAAAGTTATTAATAATAACGATCATTATGAATCAAAAGTTTGGGGTCGGTTAGATTTATGAATAGAAGTTTTTGAAAGAAGTCTCTTATGCTCACCAAGGCTGCATTTATTTGATCAAAAATACCATACAAACCGTAATATTGTGAAATATTATTATCATTTCAAATAAATGTTTCATATTTCAACATATTTTAAAATGTAATTTATTTCTGTGATGCAAAGCTGTATTTTCAGCATCATTACTCCAGTCTTCAGTGTCACATGATCATTCAGAAATCATTCTAATATTCTGATTTGTTGCTTTAAAAAAATTATTGCTGCTTAATATTTTTTGTAGAAACAGTGATACATTTCTTCAGGATTCATTGATAGAAACTTCAAAGGAACAGAATTATTTTAAAATTGAAATCATTTGTAATATTATACATGTCTTTACTGTCACTTTTTATCAATTTAATGCATCCTAACTGAAAAAAGTATTGATTTCTCTCTTTCTTTAAAGGGGTCATATAATGGTGCATGCACTTTTACAAGTTGATTGTACTGAAATGTGTGTTGGCAGTGCCTGTACACAACCATCATATAATGATAAAAATCCATCCAGTGGTTTTGTTTTAATCTCCTTATATGTTTTCCCCTGCCTCAAATCGAGCCGTTCGAGCCTGTGACGTCACACGCTCGGAAGCCCCTCCCACGATTGTTGATTGACAGGAGCGTCTCAACACAGACCCGCCCTCGCGGGTGAGATCAGCTCCATGAGAGAGCTGTCAATCATAGTCTGCGCGGACCAGAGCGGTCATTGTTGAAATGCTGGAGCACTGTCTATGAGCAGAATGGCGTCTAAGCGATTGTGGTGTTCTGTTCTTGGGTGTAATAACGAACACAGTCATTTTAATGTTCCTAAATCCGAACCGCTGAAGACGCAGTGGCTGAGTTTGTTTTCGAAGGGAATATTCCCCACGAGCAACGTCAATGCTTTCATATTTGCGCGAATCATTTCTCACCAGACTGCTTTATAGACGAGGATCAGTATAAAGCTGGATTTGCTAAGCTGCTGCTCATGAAAAATGGATCGGTAGCTGCTACCAGATATTCGTGTTCCTGCTGAATCTCCAGAAGAACGGAAGTGAGTGTAACGTTTTATTAAACTTTATATTAATATATTAATCTTTGCAAATCGCTAGCTGCACGCTTCACAATGAATGCGTCTAAGGTTTACACTCAGGGTACATTACGGCATGTTTTCTATGTATGACGTTCTCAATATAATTCATAATCCCACGTTTATACTGAACAACGCGTTATGGTTATTGAGTTACAAATGCGCCAGAGCTCTGGTGTACGCACAGAACAGAGGGGCGGAGTGAGCAAAGCTCATGATCATTTAAAGTCATATGCACTGAAACGGCGTGCTGAAAACAGAGCTGTTTTTGACCAGGTAAAATAAGTGTTTTCTTACAATACTCATGAGAATTTTTAATTAAAGTATATTACAAACTTTTAATTTAGACCCTAAAGAATCATATTAGCTTGTACAAAAATGGCATTATATGACCCCTTTAAAAAAAAAAAAACGTACTGACCCAAACTTTTGAAAGATATTGTGTGGTGTTCGCAATTTGTCAAATAGTGTTGGACTCTCTTTAATTTATGATGATTTAAATAAATAAAGTAATACTGGAGTAATAAGAATCTAATGAGAATGGGAATAACAATGAAATGTTAATTAATTCAAATTTTTGGGGGAAATAGGCTTAATTGTCATTAAAATAATGTCATATTGTAAAACAAATCTTAATGGTCCTAAACATAGGGTTCAATTTCTTAATGTAAAATATAATTTAACCCCCCCCCTATATATATATATATATATATAAATCTATATCATATTAATTTTTGTTAAAAGCAGTACTCTTTCTAAACATGTAGCTTAAGATAAAGATGAGAGTTCATTTAAAAGGTCTTAGTTATTCATGCCATTTTGAACTGCTGGGTGAGAGGTTGGTGTAATATGATCTCAAGTCCTCTGCACAACAATGCCTGCAGCCATTGCTTCAAAACAGGCTTTGGCTCGCCTCTCTCTCTTTAAACGGATTGGCCGGAGCAGAGCTGAGCAAATCTAATCAGCGCTACAGCACAACAACGCAAAGCGAGGCAGGAAAACACCTTTGTTTTACTGTCTATGGAAAACACAAAAGACTGGACGAAGCCATCGACTGGAGTCGGCTAGCTAAGAAACGACACATCTTGGTGGCATCCAGATGGCTATTAAGTCAAAACAAAGACATTTGTCAATCTCTATTGCATATTAAGTTGGCTGCTGGTAGCAGTGAGTGACAGCAATTATCGAACTATTTTTATTGATCTCCCACTGACTCCAGAGGGAGTTTTATCATCGGAAGGATTTACGCGAACTTTCAATCAGGGACTGAACATTAAGACACTATTGCTCAATACACAACTGCCACGATTTAATGAAAAACTGTCAATTGCGAGGAATTAAATCACTTAAATGAAAAACAAAATATATGTGCTATGCACAAACAAAAGATCATTAAAATGCCTTTCCATATTTCCCATGATTCCCATCACTAAGAACTGCTGCGTTCGAGGATCAGCTGACTCCTGGGAATCAAAACTTCATTAGATGGTGGTGTACTGAGACACACAGTGACCTGTCTTACAATCAGAAGCTACTTTAAAACCGTAGCTCACTAAGCAGAAGATGTTAAGCCAGAGACGGACGACTCGTAGAGACAGACCACACGCAGCTATAATACTGAAAGTCACGCTTTCAGTCAAAACAGCTAATTGCTTCATAGCCTCCTTAAAATAATAGTGACTTGTGAATGTACAGCAGCACGAATTAATAAGGCTAAACCTAGTACCATTGAGGCATGGCAATGTTTTTCTTCCAACATATTGGATTATATAAGGGAATGACCATATGTTAAAGTCCCCATGTAGTCAATCATTTTATCCTTTAAAACTCTTCTTTGATCACCAAAATTACATATTTAAATGTTTTTTTTCCTTGAAACAAATTCTTCATGCCTTTAAATAGCTTGAATGTAACTCTACATTTACGAACTGATTCATTGAAATGAATAAGATTTGCCATAGCTACATATGAGTTTAGTGAGTTTTGAAACAGTAAATCGTTTATTTTTGAAACACTGTACAAACAAACTAATTCATTAGAATGAATCAGACTTTCTGACTCTACATACGATTTCTCTACTTTTCGTTACCCTCCAACACTGATTATATAACAAAGTCTAACAGGTTTGGATTTCAGGCATGACATCTGAATGGCATGAATCCATTTCTTTGAGGAGCATGGTGGCTTTTCTGAGCTCAATAGGATGGGATTTTGTCTACCTGTCAGCCGGAAACTGATGTTTATAAAGTCAGAAAGGAAGAAAAGAAGCAGAGGAAATTTAGAGCCCTTCAATCCCTCGCTCTCGTTTTCTGGGTTTAGAAGCTTAGCTCTTCAAGGCTTCTCCTGTTGAGGCGCCTGCTAAGAGTCCAACTGAGATCAAAATCCAGCCTGAACACTCTTTTTGCAATGTTAAAATACTCCCACTAATCCCACTGTCCTCCTCAGACCTGATTCAAACTTGTTTTCCTCGGCAAACTCAAAGCTAGAAGGTAAATGCTAATGTTTGTGACGGTGCTTGCTCAACAAACGTTTTACTTGGGTTTTATTACATTAAATGGATCTATCTATCTATCTGTCTGTCTGTCTGTCTGTCTGTCTGTCTGTCTGTCTGTCTGTCTATCTATCTATCTATCTATCTATCTATCTATCTATCTATCTATCTATCTATCTGTCTGTCTATCATCTATCTAACTACCCACCCCTATCTATCTATCTATCTATCTATCTATCTATCTATCTATCTATCTATCTATCTATCTATCTATCTATCTATCTATCTATCTATCTATCTGTCTGTCTATCATCTATCTAACTACCCACCCCTATCTATCTATCTATCTATCTATCTATCTATCTATCTATCTATCTATCTATCTATCTATCTATCTATCTATCTATCTATCTATCTATCTGTCTGTCTATCATCTATCTAACTACCCACCCCTATCTATCTATCTATCTATCTATCTATCTATCTATCTATCTATCTATCTATCTATCTATCTATCTATCTATATCCAACATTCAATGTTTGTCTTGCATTTCTAGTTAAAAATTACAGTTACATGTATTTATTTCAATTCCAACTATTTACTTCCTTGCATTGAATTGGAATATGAAATTGGAATTTTGATTCTCAACTAAATTCTGAACCCAGCGTTCTATACCGACACATTGACAGGGTAAAGATGCTCAATGAGTTGCATCCTAATTAAGTCTATTACAATTGTTTATGCTTGTGACGTGCTGCTCTTCTAACTTATGTGAGCTTCACATTGATTTACTGTCAAAATGGGCCATTGCAATACGTGACAGAGAATCGAAAAGCAATGCCAGAGCCGGCCGTTTAGTCAGTGACCCCTCTTACATTCTTATTCAGTGAGTGACGGTGGGTTACAGTAGGTTACCCAAAATGTTGGCTAGAATCTTGTTTTATCAGATGTGCACACTGACTGACAAAAAGTTTCCTCTGCACTTCTGTTTACATGAGAAATATGTTACCCAAGTTCATTGGGAAAAGCATGACTGTGGTGACATTTCTGCAAAATTATATTACATTGCTACTGTCACTTTTTGTGACAATTCCAAAGTCCATTGAGTGGCACTTAAAAGCGTTCAGTTTTATCCAAAACAGATGAAGGTGAATCTGAAAAAAGATCTATTGTTGGTTGTTAAACGTATTGCGGCAGTACAGAAGAGCTAAAAGCTTAAATAAAGGTGGTTTATCAAGTTTGAAAATAACATACCACCTATACTGTACACTTAAAGGAACACTCCGACTTTTTGAAACTTTAGCCTATTCACCTTATCCCCCAGAGTTAGATAAGTCCATACATACCTTTTTCATCTCCGTGCGTGCTGTAACTCTATCTGACGCACCCACCGCTAGCCTAGCTTAGCACAAAGACTGGATGTAAATGGTTGCAGCTAGCATACTAATCCAAATAAGTGACAAAATAGCGCAAACATTTTCCTATTTACATGTTGTGATTTGTATAGTCACAGAGTGTACAAAAAACGAAGTCACATGAGACACAGACATATTTTAACCGTATAAATACTGGGAACTATATTCTCTGAAGGCGAAGCACTGCTACTTGGGCGGAGTGATAACCGCAGCACCTGAGACGCGCCGTGGTGAGGAGCAGAGAGCGCGTCTCAGGTGCTGCGGTTATCACTCCGCCCAAGTAGCAGTGCTTCGCCTTCAGAGAATATAGTCGCCTTCAGAGAATATAGTTCCCAGTATTTTTACGGTTAAAATATGTCTGTGTCTCATGTGACTTTGTTTTTTGTACACTCTGTGACTATACAAATCACAACATGTAAATAGAAAAATGTTTGCGTTATTTTGTCACTTATTTGGATTAGTATGCTAGCTGCAACCATTTACATCCAGTCTTTGTGCTAAGCTAGGCTAGCGGTGGGTGCGTCAAACAGACTTATAGCACGCACGGAGATGAAAAAGGTATGTATGGACTTATCTAACTCTGGGGGATAAGGTGAATAGGCTAAAGTCCCAAAAAGTCGGAGTGTTCCTTTAACCGAAATGAAAGAAAATGTGAAATAAAAACACATTTGCTGAAGCACCCATGCCATTTTACCTTGTTCTACAAGTCTTTGAGCTCTTTTATAGTGACCTACCGAGCAAGTTTAACTGATCAGAACAACCCTCTGGTGCTGTTCAATTCATTTTTGACCGAAAAATCTTACGTTTAGTTTTTTTATTTTAGATTTTTTTTACTTCATCGGAATGGTACGAAATCTGGTAAAGGTTTTGGCACTTGCTGTGTGAACACACACAAAAACAAATCATGTACATGATTCGAAAAGCTTAAATGGTCCTGAAAAAAATAGTCACACATGAATGGGAGACGAATTTCATCTATTGGAAACGTTTGGTAAGGCGCACAAACAAATTCTCACAGCTTGTTTAGATTTATGCCTTTGATTTTCTTACAGTTTTAGAGTAAAACGTGTTTTGGAAAAAATATATTTCATATAAAAACTGAAAATAGTATTTTTGTGTATTTTTCATAAGAATAAATGTAAAATTGTATAACTTTTTTCAACTTTAAAAAGAGACCAAACTTAAAGGTGCTCTATGTAGCTTTTCTTCTAAAATGAATCCTTTTTTATTGCCTGTGTGTGAAGGGGTTGTAATCACACATGACAATGATCCACTTGTCGGGTTTTGCTATTACCTCTGAAGGCCAATATTCGTATTTATATGTGAAGTCTCCGGGTCGGATTTACCGCGAAATCCATCGGATGTGACGTGCATGCGCACTCCCGAGCCTCTCTCTTTATATACAGTCTATGTGACCGACGGCACTGCAGCTGACGACATGGAGTCTGATAACACCCCAAAACGACCTGCCTCCAGCACAACACAAACTCCACCACAAATATATAAAAAACAAAAAAAAGTTTTATCTGCTGAAGCTCGTCAGGCCAAACGTGATTCTGATCGACTCAGGACGAAAACACGGATCAACATCGGCAGAGCTTTTGAATTATTAGTAAACTCTAATGAAATAGCAAGGTAAACTGAATGAGACATGGAATGAATACAAAAGACTGTTCCAGGATAAGAAAAAGTAGGTGCTTTAGGATGTATACTTGTTTTATGTACTAGATCTACTGTCTAACGTCACTCATCCCACTACTATCATATTGTTTATAATACACATTTCCAGACACGTTTAGTACAGTAATGTTACTTCCTACGATCTTACTGTTACACTGACATTGTTCAGTCTAGTTCACCGTTTTCGTTATCATATTATACATTCACCTATGTTGACATTGCTGATTGTGAAAGATACACGAATAGTTAGTGAAATGCCTTATGCTAAATAACATCACATGTCGGCTAAATGCAGTCAATGTAACGTTATCATGGTACGAGCATGGAGCATTAGTTCAACGTCAAGCTGATAAAAGTAGCCTATTATTGTAACGTTGCAGTGGGCGTTTACATGAGTTTCCAGCATGTTGTGTGATGCTTTCGCCGTTGCATTGAAAGTCTCCTTGTGGCCGGTAGTGAATGCTCGCTCTTGAGATCGCACACGCACACGAGCACGAGCGCTCTTGTTGCAATCTGAAACATCACCACTAGAGGCCGCTAAAAAATACATAGAGCACCTTTAAGTCTGTGCTCCAAAGCATTCAAGATTTACCACAGTTTAAGTAGGAAATTAAATTTTCAGGTCCATGCTTAAAAAGTGAATACATAGATTATAACTGCTGTATAAATAAAATGTAGTGCCATAAAATAGTCCCGTAAAAATACAAAACATTAAAAAAAAAATATTATCGAACTAAAATATAGTGCAATCATTTCATTGACCGACACGCAAACAGTACCAAAGGGTTAATTGATAATCTGCCTCAGTAATCCTAATTTATGTGAAAAGGAATAAACGTTGTTGGAGTTTTACTGCATTTTATCTTGTACAGTACCCTATATATAGGTAAGTTTTTGGAGTTTTGCAAAAATGTTAGCAGAGGTAAGGTATATTTAGGTAAACATATTTAGGTTGGAAATATGACAAATGTTGATTCTATTTGCTATTCAGAAAAGTCAAGCCGTGCCCCTTCAAGTGGATCTATTATTGGAAAGTGCTCCTCTCGCTGGCCTTTCTGTCCAATTAAGTCCAAACAGGACTGTGGAACTTCAGCATGGAATGAAAACATCACTGATGGCTCTCTTGAGCAAAATAAAGGTCACTTCCATCTTTCTGTACTTCTCACGCTTTGCAAACTAATTTTGGACAGGGCTGAAGCGCGAGCTCCCGAACTCCAGTCCCGGCCGTGGGATGACAGCTGACCGTGGTCTAAATCATTCGACGGGGGCTGCAGAATCGGCCCGCCAAGCCGCTTACCGACAGCTAAAAATAAAAGCTCTACATATCTGGAGACTGAGTAATGAACATGTGCTTAGGTTTTGCTCCAGCTCATGCCGGGATCCAGAGTTAATGTTGGCGGCTGATATCGAGTCGAACCCTTCGACTAGCCACCTCATGAGTTTGTGTGTACAAACTTATTATTGTGCTGGTGGCTTACCCTCTTTGGACACTGCATGTCTCGGGCCAAACTGAGCAAAAGCTCATGGGAAATTGGATCCACTAGGTTGAGGAAGGCAGCGTTCTTGTAGAGGATGTCGTTGAGAGATGTTCCCTCAAGACCCAGGTCCTGTCGAGAAAGAACGAGAGAGAGAGATTGTTAAGCATGCAGGATTACAAATTCAAGTAAAGGTCACTGATAAACCTCGATATTCAACAACTTAATCCTTTCATCCTACGCCTCCAATCTCCATTCGCCAGATTACACGAGGGGCTTTTTTTGAATGACATGCAGATAAAGTAATCTTTGCATCACTAGTTTACTTCTAGTGCTTCGGAAGAAAGAAAACTCGAAATAGAAGCCGAACGGTTTGTTGATTTATTGCTGGACTAGCGCTGCTAACCTTTAAGTTCAGCTTCTTTACGTAAGGCAGAGAAAGTGTGTGCAGACACAGTGACAGCTTATTAGTCGGGCTTATCGTAGACAGCTAAAGTGTTTCCCCCCACTGAACAGCCGAGGCAAGCAAGTCTGATACGACCAACAGGGAAAGAAAAAGAGCATGTGGGAGAATCAAGACAAAAATCCCTGAGGACTAGGTTTCCTGTTTAATCCACTGGTCTGCGCAATTAGAAGGGACAAAGCAAACATATAGAAGTGAATAAGAGGGCGAAACACATTTCATGCATCGAGGCAAATGCCAGCATCACAAAGCAACAACTACACCACCCTGTGAGTCGAATCAAAAACAGATCCCACTGAAAATGATGAAGAAACTGGCAGGCGGAGGAAAGCTGCTGAGTCCAGGGAAGTGGAAACTCCCTTTGGGTTTCACGCTGATATATTGCACTTCTTTTTCTCAGGGATTCCCTGCCATCTGGAAGCTCCTCCAAGCTCTCTATTTTTCATGTATAAAGCATAGTGTAAGCACGGGTCATTTCTGTTCTGCAGTACTTTAAAAACCTCTAAAACGAATATTAATGCATTGTAATTTAAGAAAGCTTTTCTATAAAAGTGTCTAGTAGGATTTCCGCAGGAAAAAAAAACTCTTTGTACTGGTAAAGAAAATGAATACAATGCCAGGAATGAAATTAAAAGCTCAAGTTAGCCAAAATCCACTGAAATGATTCAAGTGAAATGATTTAAAATTCATCCCTATGCTCCTTTAATTGTGATCAGTGTTATTTATACTTTTATAGTATTTATCAATATTTTGAATTACCTTTTTATTTGTATATTTCCAGTTTTCATTTTCATTTTAAGTCATTTTGTTATGTGCTTAGCTTATGACATGTTTCAACAAGTTTCAGTTTTTCATAATAATATTTATATTTGATCTTATTTCAGCTTTATTTTAATTACCAAAAACTATCGTTTTAGTTAACAATAACAAGACTGTGATAAATGTAAAAAAAAAAAACTCAATCTTAATCCGATATGTTTAGACATACATGACGGGGACATACTACAATAGGAATGACCCAACCATTATGGCAAAGCCGAGTCATATCTGGGAGATTAAAGTGCAATCAAAGAGACAACATTTTTTTATTTCAACGTTATTATGCAACCACAAAATCTTTGTAGCATTGACATCCACTGCATGTGCTCAGTAGAGCATGTAAGCGGAGTTGTTTCCTGCCTTTGCTCAATGAGAGTCAACAGCGGAAAATAAATTGCACTCATTAGGGCACAGGAAGAGCAACAGCAGAGATAAGGGATGTTGTTTTTGTCCTCCTCTCTCACTTTCTTTCTCTCACTCTCTCTGGGGCAAAAGGAAGCATTCTGCTCCATCCTTTTGACCCTCAGTTGATTAACATCCAATCCATTTTTCCCTGAACAGAAAAGCTGCTTTTCAATGCGCAGGAATTCCTTTCTTTCAGCAACCTACAGTCTTCGAAGGTAGCAGGTTTGCCTTGATGTGACCCCTCTCTTTCCTTCAACAGGGTGTTAAGAGCTTCCAGGGCCGGGGTGACGTGAGGGAGACGGCTCCATGTTTGGAAAGCTTTTCGACTGGCTGGGCATCCAAGTGACAATGTGCCATATCTAGACAGGGATGAAACTGTGGACTGAAAATTCACTGTGACTAAATCGAAAATTCCCACAGATATTAAAATAATGACTAAAATAATTTGAACAAACTAAGCGCCACGTGCTTATGTAATTAATATTTCTATACACTTTTTAAAAGAATGGGTTCTATTTAGAACCTTAAACCTTGGGTTCTGTCAGGCGCTTCATATAGAACCTTTTAGGGGTTCCATCATCGGATCATTTCACGGAATTAGTTTTAATTAATATTTTTTTTTTTTTTTTTTTTTAACTACCGGTACATGTACTTATAGAGTTACGGTTAGAGTTAGGGTTAGTTATAGGGCTGCAACGATTAGTCGACGTTGTCGACAACGTCGACAATAAAAATTTGTCGACAAATATCTTTGTTGTCGAGTAGTCGTTTGATCTCACGTGACCTAATGTAAGGGCCTGCAATATCGCGATTTGACCGCTACGGCGCTGTAGCGCTAGAGTGTAGTGCAGCCCTTACAAATGCTATTGCGGTAGAAGAGAAAACAGCGCGAATTATGACAGTGCAAACGAATCCGAACTAGCAAGGTTTAGGTTTGGGAAAGTTTCACAAAACTTCAAATCAAGAATGCTGTCGTGTGCAATACATGCAAGGCGGAACTTGCTTTTCTCCCGTGAAAAAGCACAACATGCATGTTGGAGTGCAAGAGGAAACATCCCGGCAAAAGAGGAGCCGGTGAGAAGTGAGTGTTCTCCAGCTGGAGCTTACTAACCAGCGGTAAATCTCTCTTTATTAGAGAATGCAATACTACTAATAATAGTAATAATATTATCAATAGTAATATAATTACAGTAATGTGATGACTTATTTTGCATAGAATAAAGCTTGATCGAGCTTAGGAGTCAGGGCTGTTTTTATTATTGTAACACTATTAGTATATTAGGTATTATTATAGGCTAGTCTTATCACTTGCCTGTATTTTGTTCAATAATCATGAATACTTACAAAACGAGATGTTATATCCTTCCTATGATATAGGAAGAATATCATGGCAGTTACTTTATCATACTATAAATTAAAAGGTGAATGAGAACGTCTCTGTCAGCTCAATTGTCATGTAAAAAAAGATTGTAATTTTATAATTATAATAATTGTTTGCAGATTAATATTTTGCCATTCTTTGTGTCCTGAAGTAAATGTCCCTTTTTCTGTTTCAGTTCTAAGAAAAGCAGTGGGCCTATTAAACAATGCTTAGAGAGCATTTGTGTGTGATTTGAGTTGGACCGAAATCTGAAAACTTAAAGAGAATGACCTGTTTAGTTGGCTCAAAGTTCATTAAAACAACTATTTCAAAAGCTGAAGTGATTTTCTTTTTTTATATTATAGTTAGAATATGTATAACTCAATGTTTTAACTAATTGGAAAAGCTGAATAATCGTTCCAAACTTACTGATTAGTCTGCAAAATAATCGACGATTAGTCGATTAATCGTTCTAATAATCGTTAGATTAATCGATTATCAAAATAATCGTTTGTTGCAGCCCTAGTTAGTTACTTGTAATTATGCATAACTTACTGTTATTACTAAGTCCATGTAGAGTGTAATACGTCACCTTAAAATAAAGTGTTACCAATGAAATGCAATACTTTCATTTACAACGCTTCCCCTTATAAATAATCCTTTTGGCATAAAGGGTTCTTTAAAATTGATTCAAGAACATATGGTTCTCTACAAAACCCCCAAAAGTTGGATGTTTAAGATGCTTAAATTACATTAAACTGACTTAAAAAAATTAGTTGAATCTTGTTGAATCCAACTTATAAAAAAGTTGAAAAGTGCTTAACTTATTTTGATGAGTTAAAGCAATGTAAAACATGTTGTCATAATTATTGTTGTCATTCTTATTTATCATATAATTTTTTTTAAGATTTTGATTAACTCATTTGATATCCATTTGACATCTTTATCCAATATATAAGACATATATGACAGCGGCATTAAAATATTCTTCAGAATTAACGACTCATACAATATGGCAAGGCAGAGTCATAATGGGATAACAGAAAGATTAAAGTGCAAGTATCACATACCAACAGGTATCAAAACTTGATCCTTGAAATTGTGCCTAAAATCAAATGGATGAAAAAAAAAAGCCATATTTAGAGACTTGGGGGGGTAAACAACCACCTAGCAACCACTCAGAACACCTTAGCAACAAAATCGCAACGTCATGGCAACCACTTGGAAACCTTAGCATCATTTTGCACAGACAAGCAAACTGACAATCAAGCTGTACTGTTTTCATGTTATCAGATCTCCCATCATTTCATTCTGTTCCAATTATCTTTTGATTCAGATGCCCAGAATCTCCTTCCAGATGTTCAACAAGCTAGGAGACATCATTAGAAAAAGACTCAAGTTGCACAAAAAAGACAAAAGAGGCTTTTCTCAGCCCCTTTTATGCAGTGAGTGTGCAACTGGAGGACCCTCATCTTCAGGTTGCATGCATTGAGATGTTCCTGTGATTTGAGGACCCTCTTGGCAAGCTAATCAATAAACACAATTCAATGACCAAAAATCCTCCACGAAGTCCTATACGTGCCGATTCTCTCATAAACACTTCAAGCTTGAACTGTGGTGCCTTCATTAGCATAAGCTGGATCAATGAGTCTGCACCATGGCCTTAGTCTACGCAGATCTGGTTTGCTATCAGGATAAATGGAGCACTGAGGAGCCTGTCAATCACCAGCTGCAAAATCTGAGCACTACACAAAGACCTCAACTGTTCAACCGCTATCAAACCTCTCAGTCGTGATCAGGAAACATCCAGTGAATAGCTTTGGAGAGGTGGGATTTGCTCTGAACAATTTGTGACATCCTGAAAGTCTAGTCGCAGTTCATCCTTTTTGACAATTGCAGTAAATGAAAAACATCACTGTAAAGCACCTATAAGCTGGTTTGTCCATCATGATCAAACATACCACAGCAAATTAATAATCCAGCGATCTTTATGTTTACTATATCATAAATAATATACAGTTATTATATATTTAACAAAACCTAACATGGTATTCCTTCTATTTTGTAAAAGGTTATTTGAAGTACATTAAACAGTAAATATCATGCTGTATTATGATACTCATTTAGTACCCTGGCTGACACATGTCAAAGCACCATGGTATTACCATCCTGTACCATGCTACTTCCAAAGTACTGTTTGTAAGGCTTGTAACTTTAACTGTTTTATTTCAAATGCAGTTAATTATTATTTGATTGTACCCATTTTATTGTATTTTATTAGAAATATTTGAATTTGTATAGAAGTATCATACTTTTCATTGCAGACTTTAGTATCTAAACAGTTTTAGACGCTGACAATTAATTTTAAACACTAGGAGATGCATGTGAGATTTCTACTAGACTATATATATATGTATTTCATTGCAGTCTATGAGACACAGTACAACACATTTTTGTGATTATTCTTTTCTTAGTGAAAACATCATGCTGCAACAGCATCATCATCATCATCAACAACAACAACAACCTGTAGTTCTGTCTAAAAAATATATACAATCTGGGTTATTAATAAATGATGTTTTGTACCTTTCTAAGCAGTTTCAACACATCGATGGCTTGTTCCCCCTTCTGCTCCTTCAGCAGGGTGTGGATCTCCCGAACCCAAGCCACTCTCCGGACGTAAGGGCTGGGACTGGATTTGCGCAGCATTCCGGGGAGCTTGTCGGACTTAAGCATCAGAGAACTGAACAAAAACTCTCCTCTTCCTCCACTTCTCTTCTCCACATCCCGTTCATGATGCTGTCGATCCCCACGAACGACCGTCGCCTGGCTGTCTAAACTACTTTGCCTGGTCAACTTGGATCCCATGTTTCAACTTTCCAATTTCTGTCTAAGTATCAAATAATTCAACGCTGTTGTTTCATAAAGCATGCGTAAAGTAAACCTTATAATATTTTTTTACTGAGTGCACGCTCATAATTGCACTTCATCTAGTTCGGTTGCTCGTGTAGGATCAAATTCATCAAGTAAAATGCATATTCATCGCACGAAAAGATTAAAATGTCACTTTCCCCGCGTTTCTCTTGCCCCTGTGAACCTCTCCGCGGTGTTTGTGTTCTTCCAGGCTTCATCACATGCCACGCCCATGTCTCACTCGCTGTCCAATCAGAGCGCTCGACTCCCACATGTGTTGATGATATGAAGCCCGTTCTGTCCTGTCAGCACGTAGCCTACTGTATAGATACCGAATTGTGTTATTAAAAAAATGATATAGTAATAACCATCAATACAACCTAAAAACTAATCAGAACAATTTCACAGAAATATTTCCAGTGATTTACAAAAAGTAGGCTAAAATGATGTAGGCTACCATTTGGGCCCCTGTGGTAGACATAATGTTTAAAAAAAGACCTATTTTTTTATAGCTGGTTAATTAAAGTAAATGAAATTCACATTTATTCGTATTAGTGCTTTTCACAATACATATAATTTCCAAGGAGCTTTACATAAAAATGCATGAAATTTATTAAAATTTAGAATAATGAGAGGTGACAGTGTCAAATAATCTCCGTATGTCAAAAATGTACACAGTTCTAAGATTATACAAATCATGAAGTTTGCTAATAGGCTATCACATATTCATTTAGGCAGAAACAATGATCTGCAGAAATTAATGATGCAATAATTACAAGCGACCCTAATGATTAGGCCTACAATCTATAGAAAATTTGGCAGTGGTCCATACTGATTCAGAGTTGCCGTCATCTGAAGACCTCATTTGGCGGACATCTGAAATCTTCATATGAGGCTGGATCCAAACTGGAGCATGCAGGCGTACTCTCTATACCGTGAGATGGGCATCCCGAGATAAAAATGAAAAGCAAATGGAAAATAATAAGCATAGCTGCTGTTCATAACATTTCAAAGCAAAAGATAATCACATGCATTTAATCTGATATAACTGGAGTAAAAGGCTCTGCGGTGCATTATGTGAATGCTTGGCTAAAGAGATGTCTGTAATCTAGATTTACTGAGAGATTGAGTCTGAGCCCCGAACATTATCAGGAAGGCCAGAGTTATAGGAGCCAAATGTGAAAACACTCTCCCTCCTTTAGTGGACTTGGAACTTGGATAGGTACTACCAAAAGTCTAGAGTTTTGTGACCTTAAAGAGCATGATAGATTGTAGGGCGAAAGAAGAGTGGTTAAATATACAGGAACTAAACCATTTAGGGCCTTATAGGTCAGTAGCAATACTTTGTAATGGATACGGAACTAAATAACCAGCGTAGAGATACATATTTGGGTTATATGATCATAATTTCTTGACCTAAGAACACTAGCAGCTGCATTTTAGACTAATGTAGTTTGTTTATTGAGGATAGAGGACCACCATATCGGTAGTAGTGCCTTACAGTAATCTAGAGTGTGAACTAGAATGCATCAACTAGATTTGTGCATCAAAAAAAGATAACATGTTCCGTATAGCGATGTTTCTGAAGTGAAAGAGGGGTGTTTTTGTAACATTTGAAATATGATTATCGAAAGACAAGTTTCTGTCTAATATAACACCAAGGTCTTTAATTGTAGAGGATGAAGTAACAGAACATCCTTTTAGATGCAAATTGTATTAAGAGATTCTGTGTACAGGTAATACCCCAGGCTTATCCGAATTTAATAGAAGAAAATAACTGGTCATTCAACATTTGATATCTTTAGCACAATCTGTCAACTTGAATAATTTAGAGATTTCATCTGGTCGTGATATATAACTGAGTATCATCGCCATAACAGTGGAAACTAATTACATGTTTTCTAACAATATTACATAGAAACTATATATTGAAAATAGCAGAGGGCCTAAAACAGACCCTTGTGGCACTCCATGATTTACTGGCGTTAACTCAGATAATTCCCTGTTTAAATAAATAAAATGGTAACGGTCATGTATACGATCTAAAGCACCCTAAAGCCTGTCTCTGAATTCTGGTGTAATTTTGTTATCAATCTAGAGTATGTCATGATCTAAATATGCATGTCAAACGCTGCACTAAGATCGAAGTAAAACTAGTATTTAGATGCAACCTTGGTCAGTAGCTAGAAGTAAGCCACTTTTTTTTAAAAGAAAGGAGCACAATTAAGCAGACACAAATTTTTCTAGCATTTTTGACATAAATGGTAGATTTGAAATGCTTTAACTTGTAGTACAGAGTTCACAAACTTCATATCAGTGTTGAACATAGTACAAAACTGATTTTACTTTCGAACAATAGGATGCAGGTTACACTTTTTGTTTTCTGTGAATTTAACGTATAAGTTTTCTTGGTTATGCGAATGTTAAGGGAAGATTCCATTTTATCATTTTGCAAATTATGTGAATGTCACTTTTGAATGTTTTCTGAACAATCTGAATCAAGCAGCTACATTTAAAATATTTTATATTTTACATATAAAATAAATTTCAGATACGTTCCATGAACGATGTCTAAATAATGTTCTTGTGTTAATGTTTTGAGAACGATATTAAAAAACAGATAACTTTGTACTGATGTTCTATTAACACTATGTTCACAACTTTCAGAGAACCTTGCCAGAATGTTCTGAGAACTTTCTGTTAGGGATTTTGAATATTTGTGTTTTAGATGTCTACATTATGTTGAACTTGTGTCCAAACTTATCATAGTTAATCATTCACTAGAACTAGGCAAATGTAGAACAGCTCAACCATTTAAAGATTAAATGCGGGAATACAAGTGATAGAGTAACAAAACGCCACCTGTATTTGTGAAACGTTTACTAGGGTTGTTTCAGTCTGTATTTTGCTGTGATTGTGGCACGTGTGAATTTACCATCACCTCAACCTGTGCCCTTTTCACCACGGTCAATAAAACAATTATGGATGATTTCACAGGTTGATTTGGTTAAAGTTTGATGGTCATATAATAGTTAGACATTGAGAGCCAGAGGTTCACAGCGTTGGCTCCGTCAGCCTGTGGAAAGGAGGCTCATTCTAGGAGACTCTACAAGAGGCCTGTGAAGTCTACAGGTAGGTGATACTCCATATACTCAAATCGCATACATTAAACTCATCAGTTATGAACTTAATCATCATGAGAGCTTCAACTACTTTCTCACGCAAAGCATTTTTGTACACGAAATATTATGCAGCATCCTAATGTTGTTGTGTCTTTTACTGTCTTTTAACACACACTGAACTCAGAAGATTATAATTTGTACTCTTTTGTTGCGATTTGTAGGAGGAAATAACACAATCTCTTGCTCTTTTCTCTATGTGAGAAAATTCTAGTCTCTTGTGGTGGGTTTAATTTTGTTGGCTGCAGGCACTGCAGGTTTCTCCGAGATGTTCTGCAGTTCGTTCCCACACACAGCACAGCCATGACAGGATTTAATGTGGACAGTAGCAGGGCTTTGAAACTATGAAAAGACAGGATTTCACTTCACACAAGCCTTTTTTTATTCCAAGTTTTCAAATTATAAATGCATGAAAATTTGCTGCCTTTGGCAGGGATACATAAAGCGACATTAAGCAACATAAAATAGAATACGAAAGAATCAGGATGCATTTTGTCATTCCTTAGTACTATTTTTTAGCTCAAATAATACAGAATCAAGGGTTGATTTACACTGGGAATCAATAAGCATGCAATGATCAAAAGAGCAATTCATTACATTTTTAGCAAAACTATAGAAATCTCCTTCAGAGGAATACTCAAAGCCAACTAACAGAGAACAATTGATTGCATGCATGCTTTTTGAATGCATAATTGTTGCCTTGACTGTATTTAGCAAGAAAGCAGAAATGTTGTAAGCGCATTCAATTTCCAGCTGTTAGTTTTCTTATTAACTGCATTCTGCATTACAACAATTACTGTATTTCTGCTTTATGAATTATGATGTGTTACATAACGGAGACGGTTAACTTCCATTACACAATCACTGATTGCAAAAGTTAATATGACTCGTCATTGTGAGAATGCACATGCCCCAGCTTATCTCTTCTCTGGGACGGCTAGTTCATAGTTTGCTTCAATTAGCAGTTCAAAAGAAAACGGTTTAAATGCAGTAATTCACGTTCAGATTCACTTGATGATGTTTGTCAAATCCATAGTTTCAGAACTCTTGAAAGATTGCTTGCAGATACGGTTGCATAGAAACATAAACAAGTTTATACACCAGCAACAGAGAACTATAGTTCTTGTTGTTGCATGTTGCAGGAAAATGGTGCAGAAGTCTACTGTGGTGGGCCTCGCATTGCTGCTGCTGGCTGCAGTCGGCACGTTTTTGGCCGTTTTCTTTTCCGTTCAGGGCAAGAAGGCCTCTCCTGAACCCGAAACTGGTTACTTCAAGGCAGCAGTGGCAGCAGATGCTGGGACATGCTCCGAGATCGGCAGGTTTGGGCTCTGTTCTCCTTATATGCATATTCACCTTTTGCCATCTTGAGCCTGAAATAAAATGAGTTCATTAAAATCTCATTACATCAGATATTATAGTATTATTGTAAATAAATAGCAAAGATGTTAGGAAGGCCATATGAGGAAAAGATGTTTGGTTTGTTAACCTAAAAATGTACTTACGTCAGAGATTTTATTTAGTAGTTGAATCCTCCTCACTATATCTTCTCTTACACCAACTAAAGTTGGCATGAAACAGAAGTTGTGATGCATATATAAATGAAACGGCTTCTCGAACAAGAAAAAATTGAGGGTGGGACTTGATTTTTTTGTCCATTGGGAATTGATTGGATCGTTGGATGGTTGTGGTTTGCTATTGGTCGATCTCATGTGAGTGACAGGTTGCCCCGCCCTCGCATCAGTAATCAGAGAAGAGATGTTTAAAGTGCAGTTTTCATGGACAACTGCTACATCATTTCTGATGGTGATGATACACAGGGAAACTTTTTGAGCAATGTTGCTGGGCAATGTTGCCGTCAACGGGCAACCAGATGAGACGCAGGGCCCACGACCGATCTAAATTATCCAGATAGAAATGTATTGCCCATTTTCAATGGGAAAGTGCCCAAGCAGCAATCGCTCGGCAAGATTGCCCAGCAACATTGCTCAAAAAGTTGCCCTGTGTATCATCACCTTAACAAAACTTTTATATCTTGTAACATAT